TTTGGCTCATCTGATCTCATCCCTCCAGAACACCCACCCTAACATCTTCCCTTCGCAGCAGCAAGTTGTTGCTTTAAATGAATCTAGTGCCTTGGCCTTAACCACCCTCCTGACAACCTGTTGCATTTATTAATTACCCTCTGATACCAAACCCTTTGCTTTTATACATCCCAGTTAGATACATGTTCTGCAATTATCAGATTCAAAGTGACTGAAATACTGGTTCCACGTCTTCTTTCCCCCTTTGGGGTGTAGGTAATGAAAGCAGTAGCATAGATCCAAATGTAGGTTAATGCCATGCCAGTAGCTATTGTTTGAAGCTGTATGATAGACTGGGCCTGTGTGTGAGTTCTTGAAACAATGGGCTTTAAAGCTGCCATGTGATCCCGTGAGTCTCATTAAACTATTTTGTGTCACATTTAGCGAGACCCAATGTTGTGAAATATGCAGAGCTGAATTTGTTCCAGTGAAAGCAAAACACAGACGGTGATTTACTATAGGGACATGGTGCCACAACTTGGGCCGGTTTCAGACCTTGTGCAAAGGCAGAAAATCTGGCTCAGCTGTAAGAATTTTTTCCTTTGAGTGTTTATTTTTAGGATCCTGTTCCCAAATTTTTATACTTTTTTGCACACCTGAAATCCCTTACAGTTATCGCACAGTTTTACATATTAATTGTGCAAACGTCACTCAAACTCGCTCTTTCTCCCTGATTTGCAGAGCTCGGTAGAGTTTAATTTGTGTATCAGCACCAAGATGTTCCTCTACATCCATTATTTTCCTACAAATACTCAGTCCGTCTGATTCAGTTGGTAGTTTGTAGCATTCTCACCTCAGAAGGTTGAGGATTCAAGCCTCAAAGGGCTTGAAGGGATATGAAGATCACAAGATTGGTCTGGATGAAGAAGGTTCTTCATCCCATCTGATCTCCTTCCTCTTGAACCCCCACCCTGCTATCCCCCCATCACTGCAGCAATGTGCTAGGGTTACAGCAGGGCAGTGAGAGTGAATGAACAGTTTGCTCTGAGAGCCGATGCAGACTTGATAGGTTGAATGGCCTCATTCTGTTTTGTACGTTTTTATGATTCTAAGCAAAGATCTTACAAACATGACTGGGGCTCCTAATAATAAAGTCTCAGGATTCATGTAATGATGGCAGGCCTCTTACCTATCCTCCTGAGCATATGACTAGCCAATCTATAAGAAGAACCGTTAACAATTGGGATTGTACTATTTGGCTCACTATAACTAAGTTATATAATGGAGGAGCTAGCACCAGCATATGCTCAGTTGACCAAAAAACCACCTGAGCTGTAATTTCAATCATTCAGTAAGATTATATAGTGGTGTCCTAAAGTTCAGAGTTGCCACGGGCTGACATGACCAATTTATTAAGCTTCCCTTATTTGGGAATCAAGTTATTATTGCATATTGGACCCTGGCAGTTGCTCATCCATAAAAGATACCAGTGATTGGAATGACAATCATTGTCACAGGATGTCTGGCTGTGTGGGTGAACAAGAACCAGGCTAAACCGGAGCAGTCACTGGCTCTAAAATGCTCTCAGCATCTTCGCTGTAGTCCGACCCATTCACTGCTGCATTCCAGAGGATTTTGCCTACAGATCATTCACGGTTTTATCACGGTGAGTGTAGCTGAGAGCTTGATGAATGCGTCGATCCTGTGGGTCATTATTACTATCAAATTGCACTGCTCCTGTCATTGCTGCTTCCACTGGCTGTGGAGAGAAGATGTCAGTAAAGTGGCACATGACTGTTGAATAGCTTGAACTAGGAAATGGAGATTAATTGATTGGATTCTGATATTATGTGCCCTTTGGTTCGGTCCTGTTACTCTTCTCATTTCTTGCTACTAAAAAAAAATCCATTGGCTGGAAACTGAAAGTGGCTCAGAGACTCCTGCTGTTGTATGTCAGACAGCGCAGTCACAGCAGGAAGACATGGACATATATGTTCGCATACGCAACACACAGTCACTACACCTTACCGTAAAAATCCTGTGAAGCGCTTTGAGAAGCCCTCCAAGGTGATGTACTTGACAACGGAATGTCGGAATGGTAGGGTTCCTGAGCCAGGCGGGTCCGCAGTATTTCAGGGCCCTGGTGATGACGGCACATCCAGCCTGGCTCATCGGTAAGACTTGGAGGGGCAGACCAGTCACTGGAGAATTCACAGGGATTCTGTCCTCTCAGCTCCTGTTAACTGCAAGCCAAAACCCAGACAGACGGGGGAAGTGGTGACGTACATATGTGGAACTCTCTCTCTTTTGGCAGATCTACAACAACAACAACAAGATTCCATTTATAAAGCGCCTTTCACGTCAGGAGGACGTCCCAAGGCGCTGCACAGTTGGGCCATGACCCGAGCAGGGTGAGGTCAGGGTGGTCAGGGTGAGGGAAGGGAGGGAGCGAGGAGGGGGGAAATGGTCAGGGTGAGGGGAGGGAAGGGAGGGAGCGAGGAGGGGGAAGAGAGTCGAGAGGGGAGCTGAAGGCACGGTCAAAGAGATCTAAAGTAAGATGAGGGCTTTCCACGTCTTTTAGATCCCCAGCTAACCACCGGGACAACATTGTAGGTAAACGAGGCAGCAAGGTTCCACAAATATCAGTGGATAAATCACTACTGAATATTGAGGACTGTTGGTCAGAGGATCTGCATTATAAACAGGCAACTGTGTTCTGTTGACCTACTGATTAGATAATTGATATGGTTCTCAATCAGGTTGTTTTATTCTAATACCATATATGAATTATGCACACTTCAAAATTGGTTGTTTTTTAAAGAATATAAACTAGGTACATACATTTTGCACAGATATCTGTTTATATATTGTTCACGTTAACACCATTTGGATGGAGCTGGTCTCAGGCACCACCTTGTGGTTTAAGCTCACAATAGCAGGCACCAAGGACAACAAGCAAGGCAGATTCTAAACCATATCCACACCATCGGCTCAAATAAAAATGAAACCTGCTGTTAACCTTTCCCTGTACTCTGCTTATGTTTAAATGACTCCAAACGTATTCTAAATAGCAGTTTTCATCAGATGTTCAATGGACCTCGATGCTTCACCTACAGAGACAATGCAATGCAAGTGAAATCACATTGTTGGCTGGGACATGATCAGCTTCTCTGAGGTTTACTGACAGGCTTCCCTCTCTTCTTGTATGTTTGCTTAACCACTCTTGTTTGTCAAGAGTCCTGAGACATTCTTTTGCAAGCATTGTGCTTTGTTAACACAAGTTTCACCAAGGCAACGGAATAAGAGGGCTAAGGCTCAGGGTTGCTGAGAGCAACTTAAGGAGGGCAGACCGAGAGGTTAATTGACAACTCGAACAGGTTAACCGGAAGGATGGTTACAGCTAATCCTCTGAATTAATTTAAGAGCCAACTTGATGCTGTGATGGAAATATAATGTATGGTGGGTATAGAGGAGAAATTAGCTCAAATGGGCAGACCTCTTCATCCAAACATCTCTTGTGTTCTGTGAAATTATAATGATAATACGTAGTAATCCTTGCATTTGATATATTGTCTTATCACATCAAAATGTCTCAAAACACTTCACAGGATATATTGTAGGTGTAGTAACTATATCTTGTAGGCAAACACAGCTGGTAATTTGTGCAAAGCAATGTCCCATAAACAGTCATGAAGTGAATGACCAATTTTAACTGGGAGGATTGTTGGCCGGGAGAAGCTCCCTTCTCTTTTTCATGCGAGGTTTGACGTCCGCCTGAACAGACAGATGTGATCTCGGTTTAATGTCTCATCCGAAGGATAGCACCTCCGACAATGCAGCGCTCTCCAAGCACTGGAAATATGTAATCCTCATCACTACCACTCCAAAAATAGATCATATTGAAACGGCATTCCCAAGTCACAGCATCACAGATGCTGCACAATCAGCAACTTTTCATCTAGAATGAATATTTCTAAAGCTTTTCACAATGACAATGGGGATCAACCAGCAGATAATGGTGAAAAAAGAGGACCTCGGTTTAGAGATGCAAAGAGTATTTCGGGGCAGGCGCCGAGAACTTTTTCTTTACCCAGAGGTAATCAATGACTGGAACAGGTTGTCAGGAAGCTGGTTGAGGCCAGGACACTGGACCAATTTAAAAAGCTGCTTGATGCTGGGTAGCGGGGTGGGGTGTTAGGTGTTCTGGAGGGATAAAATGGACCAAAGAGTCTTTTTTATAAAGACCAATGTTGTGAGCTTGCGAGTTTCCGGTATTTGACCAGAGAGATATTTATAAAAGCAGTCAAACAGACTGCGAACATGTACTGTCATGGTTCATTCAAAAATAATGATCAGCAGGTGAGATACCTCAAAATCATAAGATCACAAGATTGGTCTTGTTGAACAAGGGCCTTCAGCTCATCTGACCTCAACCCTCCAGAACACTCATATCAATCGTTCCCCATCACTGCATCAAGCTACTTTTTAAACAAGTCCAATGTCCTGGCCACTACCACCCTTCCTGATGGCAAATGGAGCTTGATGGAAAAGGCATTCAGTTGTCATCAGAAGAGGAGGAACAGAAGGGAGAGGAGAATATCGGTATAGAAAGAAAATAACATGCAACACACTTGAATTAATTTGCCATTAAACTCTTCTAACTAGCTGGTAAACTTGTCGCAAGTTCCTATCTAATTCAGTTCTGTTCCTCCCATTCTCCAGCTATATTGAGATGATAATAATAATAATCCCTGCATTTGATAAAGCGCCTTACCATGTTGTTGAGATGTCTCAAAGTGCTTCACAGAATATACTGTAAAGTGGATCGACTACATATTTTGTGTATGAGATGGAGGATCCTGTCTTATTAAATGCATTACAGTGAGCATCTTTAGTGCTTCTACCTATCCACTTTGTGCTGTCAGACACCCAGAGCCAGTTGTTCATTCTAAAAACCAAAATCGATGGAATCAATATGTATGCCCATCTCACGTGGATGTCTTGTTTTTTTCTACCCACAGACTGAGCAGTTTGTACATGCCTTTGAAGATCAGTTGGTGAGAAGTGCCCTGTTAGCTCTACATACAGCGCGCCCAGGTTACATCAACCGAAGATATTCTGGTCCCTGCATTAACCCGAGTGACCCTGAGCTGCTGAGTGTAAACCGGGAGAAGCACAGCGCCAGCGACCACTCGATACCTCACCAAGCTGAGTACGATGAGGAAGATTGGGCAAGTCATCTTTGTCAAAGTGTTTTCCCCCTCTCCCCTGCCCCCAAATAGCATGAGCAGTTTATGATCGTGTGACTTTGTTCTCCCATCACTGCATCAACCGACCGTTGTGAGGGTAGACCTGTGGCTGCACCATTACTCTCAAGCTTGTAAATTGGGATTGTGTTCTTTGGCATTGGTTAGCACGTTATTTGTTCCTTCACATCTTTCATGTAAGGTATCACCTCACACGGTATATTACTGCTCCTCAGTAAACTGAAAAAGGCCCAATGTCGCTTCAATGGCAATCGCATAGTTGGAAGAGAGCTCGAGTTCAAATCATGCTATCAGACATCAGACCGATGTCCACAATCACACAATGTCCACAGTGTTCACAATCACCGATTGATTGTGTTGAAAATGGAACAGAGCTGCCCATCAGCCATCGCCCACTGGCACATCAGAGACCCATCTGGTTGTGTGCATTTTGTTCCCTGGTTATTTTCAGCTTATTATTTGAGTAGTGAATTTTGGACATGTTAAACAGAAGTGTGAAAGTTGCACTGTTGCTCATTTTCAAGAATATCCATCATAAATGCAGCTAAGAACTGCTCCCTCTGCACTATCCCAGCAACCTTGCTTCACCCAGTGGCCATTTCTCAATGTTCTTGGTGGGCGCTATGAATGTGACGACTAAGTTGTGGCAAACTATGATTGCTTTAGTCTCCCAGCTCTACCTACCTGGCATTGTTCCCTTGAGGAATCATTTGATCAGTCGTGGTTTGTGTGAAGATCCCAAAGTTGAGTTGCTGTGCTAACCTACTGTGCCACCAGTCACCTGACTGCTCCTATGCTGAAAAATCACCTTATTTTCTTGTAATCGTAATAAGGAGCCGAGTATCTTGATGGACAGGCCTGTGGTGGGAGAACCAATTCCCTCTTACTAAATTCTGGCAAGCAATTAATTGTAATGCAAAGGATGCACTGTTTTTGTTGCATGTTGATTTGGTTTTTAGTTTTTTATTTGTTTTTCTAGGACAGAGTGTGGGTGAATGTGGGCAAAAGTTTGAACTGTATCATTGCGATGGTGGACCGACTGCTGGAGCAGAGCAGCGCACAGCTGGAACGTGAGCAGGAGCAGGAGCCCCCGCTGGCTGATCAGATCCCGCCCTCAGTAGGTGGTAGGTGTCATTCTGAATTTCACAAACCAGAGAAAGGCAGTTGAAGAATAGACATTCGATCGATATCTGCACTATATGCAGTGCATCTGCCTCTCACCGGCTTGTGCTGTTTGTTTGATTATTATTTCCTGTGGGTGTTTGTTACTGTACCCACGCAGCCTTTGCTCAGCAAACAGTAGCCTACTTCATATCCCCTGCCCGACCCATCATCAGTAGTCGGGTTTTCAGCCTTGGATTCGCTCAGTCCCTCACCTCTTTCAAAATCTGTCTCAAGATCTTCCTCTTTGACTGCGCCTTCAATCATCTTTCCCCCTCCCACCCTCCTCAGCTTCCACCCCCAGCTCGGGTGTCAAGCCAGAACTGTCGAGAATCTTGGGACACTCTCCCAGTGTGAATGGCACTCTTGCATGTTATTAATCTAGATGTTGTGTGTTATTTATCCAGATCTTAGTTTGCGTGAATCGTACTTTAAGTGAACTACCATTTCTGACTGAATTATGTTCTCATGTACCTACTGTTATGTGAATGCTTTCTGGCAACCTGTTGATACCAACCAGCAAGATTGACTTGAGTGTGGAAAATTCTTGAGAACCCTCCATGTAAGATGAAATTGTTAAATCAAATTATCCTCCCCGTAAAGTGACAAGCCTAGAATATTTAAAATCTGATTTTAATCCTTTTATATTTCATGAATGTACAAGATGTGGAGGGTTTAATACAGACCTCATTGAAACTACATCTGTACCATGCTTAATGCAGCACTGTAAAGCAAGGCAAAAATAATAGTTTCAAACAGGCTTGCAAAAATGAATTAGCCTGTCTGAAATCTCTTTACCGTGTTCTAATGTAGTACAAGATCTAATCTCTCATTCAGTCCATCTGTAAAAGTAAATCAGTTTTCTGTTAGATAATGCGATAGTCTATCTGGTGCTGTCCATTGTAACACCCTTATTCCTCTCCCTTTACCACCACTCCCAACCCCCACCCCCACCCTCCTCCCACACATACACACACACAAAGTAAAACAAGTTTATTGTAAGTAATCGTTGAAAGTGTGGTATATACAATGACTGACTCTGAAGTGTGGTCCATGCTTATAAAAGATCTTGCGATTCACACATTGATGTACCACTCACTATTTGGTCTCGGGGCTTATACTATAACCTCAACGCTTATGCTGTGTTATGGCTTTACTAACAAACTCCAGACCCAGTGGTATGCTAGACTTAAGGTGATAGAGGTTTAGATTTTGCTGTAGTAAATGGTAATACTGCTATATAATATAGCTATTAGCCATAAAATAAGTCTGTGTTTTACTACATTACACATATTGAAAATTATTTGTCTTTTTTCTCTCAGAAAATATTATGTTTCAGTTATCATGCTTTACTAATTTCCCTGTGTTGGATTTATTCTGCAAGATCACTGGTACGAAGGGCTATACCCTCTGGTAGTTACACTAAAGGACTGTGTCAATGAAGTGGTTGCCAGAGCAAAGAAGGCCATGGTGTTTGTACTTCTTCAGGAGTGTGCCTGCAGCATACCTCAGGCCCTAGCACTGCACCAGAGGAGAGATGTTGTCTTCAGTCAAGCAGTAAGTGGGCTCTTTGTCTTCCATCCCATTCTGCTGTCATTGTTAATTGCAAGACAGTAACACACTCCATCAATATCATCAAATCATCTTCATTACAAGGCTATGATACACTGCATGTCATCTGAACACCTTCATTACAAGGCTGTAACACACTCCATCACCAGAACTTCAGCAATGTTCTTATACGATTGTTTGAAATGTGTATAATGTACGTGGATGGGAAATGCTGGAAATCTACAGACAGTAAATCAGCTGCCAATCCTCTATTTCAGGTGCTGATTGATCAGTTGTGCATTTCCAGGATTTGCAGTTTTCCCGTGTTAGCATTGCAGGTGCATTAGTCTATCTGTGCCTACAAAGAGTGTTGCGCAAAAAGCAGAGCTGTATACCTTTTAAGACTGGCTGCTGACTGCCTGTTCAGCATCTCAAGCCTCCATTTCATTCCCTCAAACATCTTTGTGTGCAGAAAAATACTCGCAGAACCATTTTGCAGAGGAAAGTCGCCACCCACAATGTTTTTAGGTGCACCACAAAAAAGAAAAGCTCAGCTTTTAACCAGGGGAGTCAGGAAAGGATGTTTTTGCCTTCCTTTTAGTGATAACGCTACAAGGTTCTAGTCTGTAACAAAAACAGAAGTCGCTGGGAACACTCAGCAGGTCAGGCAGCATCTGTGGAGAAAGGAAAGTGAGTCAACGTTTTAGGTCCACGACCCTTCATCAAAACTGGGGCATCTTGGAAGGGAGAGGCTTTTAAGAGCTAACAGGGAGGGGCGAGGCAGAGAGACAAAGGAGAAAATGGGGTAGAGGACAGGGGGTAATGGGTTAAAGAGGAGTTAATGATGCAAAACAAAAGGGGGGAATTGCAACAAAACAGGAGAATGGAGGTGTTAATAATGCAAAACAGTGGGGTGGTGGGGGGGGATATTTCCAACAAAATAGGCGGACCAGAGAGAGAAAAGGTGTGTCTGGGACCCAGATGATGGGGTAAAGGTCACAGAAGAGGGGGAGAGGGAAGGTGAGCTATTATGGTCTGAAATTGTTGAAATCAATATTGAGACCAGAGGGCTGTAAGGTCCCTAGCAGATAGATGAAGTGCTGTTCCTCGAGCTTGCGCTGTGGCTCATTGGAGCAGGTAGGAGCCCGAGGATGGAGAGGTCAGAGTGCAAGTGGGAGGGAGAGTTGAAGTGGCAAGAGACCGGAAGCTCAGGGGTGTGTGTGTGGACAGAATGGAGGTGTTCGGCAAATCTGTCACCCAATCTGCGTTTCGTCTCCCCAATGTAGAGGAGACCACATCATGAGCAGCGAAGGCAGTAAACTACATTAGTGGTAATGCACGGAAATCACTGTCTCTTGAAAACTGTGTTTGGGGCCCTGGGCAGTGGTATGAGAGGAGGTGAAAGGGCAGGTATTGCATCACCTGTGCTGGCATGGGAAGGCACTGGGGGGAGGAGAGCAAATGTTGGTGATAATGAAGGAATGAGCCAGGAAATTACGGAGAGAACGGTCCCTTCGGAATCCTGGGAGGGAGGGAAAGATATGTTTAGTGGTTGGATCACACTGGAGATGCCAGTAATGGCAGAGAATTATTTGTTGGATGTTCAGGCTGGTTGGGTGGAAGGTGAGGACTTGAGGGACCCTATCATGGTTCTGGGAAGAGGGGGGAGGGGTGAGAGCAGAGTGTAGGAAATAGGGCGGACATGGTCAAGGGCCCTGCCTACTACAGTGGATGGGAATCCTCGGTCGAGGAAAAAGGAAAACATTTCAGCTGCTCTGGCGTGAAAGGTGGCATCGTCAGAGCAGATACAGTGGAACTGGGAAAAGGGAATGGAGTCTTTACAGGAGGTGGGGTGGGAGGAGGTGTAGTCCAGGTAACTGTGGGTGTTGGTGGGCTTGTAAAAGATATCTATGGATAATCTATGCCCCGAGATGGTGAAGTTGAGGAAGGGAAGGGTCGGAAATGGATCATGTGAATGTTATGGAGGGGTGGAAGGTGGAAGCAAAATTGGTAAATTTTTACAGCTCACTGTGAGAGCAGGAAGCAGACCCAACGCAGTCGTCAATATATCTGAGGAACAGGTCAGGGAGCGGACCTGAGTAGGCCCGGAACAAAGAGTGTTCCAGGTGGCCAACAACCCACATGGGTTCCCATAGCGACATCTTTTACTTGGAGGAAGTGGTTGGAGTTGAAGGTGAAGTTGTTCAATGTCAGAACAAGTTCAGCCAGGCAGAGAAGGGTCTTCGTGGATGGAGATTGGTTAGGCTGCTGTTCGAGGTGGAAACAGAGGGCCTGCAGGCTGTCCTTGTGGGGGATGGAGGTGTAGAGGGACTGAATGTCCATTGTAAATAGGAGATGGTCAGGGCCAGGGAACTGGAAATTGTTGAAGTGGCGGAGAGCGTCAGAAGAGTCACGGATGTAGGTGGGTAAACTAATGTAGGTTCCAATCTGTATTGGTTACTTAGCTTGTAAAAGAGCCACTCAGCTCCAATTGACATCCTCTATAGTAATAATCTTACACTTCGTGTAGAGCCTTTCACATCTAGAGAACGTTTGAAAGTGCTTCATGTGATATAAAATGCAGTCAATCCACTTTACAATATATCCTGTGAAGTGCTTTGATATGTCTCAACTACACAATGAGACCATATATCAAATGCAAAGATTATTATTATCATATCGTAGAGTGTGTCTTGTGTGTAAACACGGCAGCCAACCTTTGCACAGCGGTGTACCACAAACTGTCCTGAATGAATGAGCAATTTTATCTGGAGGATTGTTGGTCAGGACACCAGAGAAATTCTCTTCTCTCTTTGAATAGTGTTTTGGCTCTTTCAAGGCAAGCAGATAGGACCTTGGGTTAATGTCTCATCCAAAGGACAGCACCTCTGACAATACAGTGCTTCTCTGGGTTGCAATGAATTGTCTGCCTAGAGCACGAAGTCCTGATGTGGCGTTTGGACCCCCCCAACCACTTTTGACTCAGAGGCAAGAAAGAGAGCTCCCAACTCAACCACGATGACACCTGTACTCAATACATGGAAGATATCAGAGTGAAAAAGAAAGAATTACTTCAGAATTTCTCCCTTTTGGCTTCCCTCCAGTATACAGTTTGCATCATGGAGCACTGTGTCAGGGGATTACGTCCTTCAAGTGGTTTGTCAGCCCTAGCAAGATAGCCTTAGCCTTATTTTCTTTCCTACCTGCTTCCCGCCTGTCCCCAGCAATGGGAGGCATCAATGTGATGGAATGAGTTGACAGGCAGCATCACTCCCCAGTTTGACCTGCCTGTCACCAGTTCCCAGTGCAGCACCAGCAGTCATCTCGTAGGTGATTTTAAGTATCCAGTCCATTGTTCTATTCAATCTGTCATTTGTTTGAAACCACTCTGGGTATGTATTGTGTAACAATGGATTGGTTGCTTCTTAAATGGAGTGAATTGACGCCAGCAAAGTGCAATGCAGCCACTCCATACTTGTTAATGTTTTCAGAATAATTGAAGGGAGAATTGCAAGTACGCCATCGGTCACGATAAAGTGCTCATTTCACTGTATCGCTTAATCTGTAGCCATTAGCAATCGATGCACATTTCAGGCAATTACCAAACATCCACAAACTGATTATAGTTCTGTATCGAGCATTTTGCTGTTACATTACGGCTGCACCGTTCTTGTGTTACATTGATTGCTATTCCATTTAATAGGCTGAAGAGGGCACCAACCCACTCTCATTACTTCAGTTCCTTTGTTAACAAAACCTCATAGAATCATAGAATTATACAGCACAGAAGGAGGCCATTTGGCCCATCGTGTCCGTGCCGGGTCTCTCAAAAGAGCTACCCAAATCAATCCCATTCCCCTGCTCTCTCCCCATAGTCATTGCAAATTTGTCCGCCCAAAATAATTATCTACGTTAGAATACATTAGAATATACAGCACAGAAACAGGCCCATTCAGGTCCTACCTTTCACACCGCCTCCACTTCGTCGCGGCAAACGGCTTTTCCTCCAGTCCCCGCACCGTCTTGTGCGGTGTTCCTCAGGGCTCTGTCCTCGGTCCCCTCCTCTTCACCCTCTACATGCTCCCCCTTGGTGACATCATCCGCAGACATGGGGTAAATTTCCACATGTATGCGGATGGCACCCAACTCTATCTCTCTGCCTCCACCCTGAACTCCAGGACTACTGAGGTCCTGACCGACTGCCTGTCTGACATCAAGTCCTGGATGAGGGCCAACTTTCTCCAACTCAACGTCAGCAAGACCGAGGCCCTCCTGATTGGCTCGCGCCAGCGCCTCCGCACCTCAGGCGCTGGCAGCATCAGCCTCCACGGCTGTACACTCAACCTCACTAAGCCAGTCAGGAACCTGGGTGTCTTGTTTAATAATAATAATAATAATCCTTGCATTTGATATAGCGCTTTTCACGTCGGGAGGACGTCCCAAAGCGCTTCACAGAATACACTGTAAAGTGAACTGACTGTATATTTGTGGGCAAACGCGGCAGTCAATTGCGCACAGCAATGTCCCACAAACAGTCGTAGATTGAAACTGACCAATTTATTATTGTTTTTGGTTTTGGAGGGATTATTATTAGGCTCTGTGTGGAGTAAGGAAACTTGCCCAAGGTTTCGCCCTCTGCCTGGAATTGAACTCAGGTCTCTCGCTTGCAAAGCGAGTGCTCTAACCACTGAGCTACAGGACTCCACCATGAACTGTCCTTTCTCCCCCACATCCGCGCCATGACTGGCATTGCCTACCACCACCTCCGTAACATTGCCAGACTCTGCCACTGCCTCACCCCTCAGGCTGCCAAACCCTCAGCCACACATTCGTCACATCAAGGCTCGATTACGGGAACTCCCTCCTCACCGACCTTCCGAACTTTTCCCTTCACAAACTGCAGATCATCCAAAACTCTGCAGCTTGTGTACTCTCGCACCAGACTCCGTGACTCCATCACTTCCATCTTCGCCCGACTCCACTGGCTCCCCATCCCCCAGAGGATTGAGTTCAAGATCCTCATCCTCACCTTCATGGCCATCCATGGCCTTGCCCCCTCCTACCTCTCTGACCTGCTGACTCCCTACCAACCTGCCCGCTCACTCCGTTCAGCGGGCTCCGGCCTGCTCCATGATTCCTGCCCGACCCGCCCTACCATCGGTGGCCGGGCCTTCAGTCACTCTGCCCCCACACTCTGGAACTGCATCCCACACTCCCTTCACCTCGCTTCCTCCCGTGCCTCCTTCAAGGCCGGTCTCAAGACCCTTCTCTTCGACCGTGCCTTTGGTCTCCCTCCCACCTCTCTGCCTTTCCTCACCCCTAAACCACTCCTCTCTCATGCTCGGGCTCTGACACCTGACTGTTCAGCGCTTTGGGACGCAGACACATCCTCCTGATGTGAAAGGCGCTCTATAAATGTAATTTTGTTGTTGTTGTTCGGCCTAACTGGTCTATGCCGGTGTTTATGCTCCACATGAGCCTCCTCCTGCCCTTCCTCAACTAAGCCTTCAAGCATAACCTTCTATTCCTTTCTTCCTATTTCATGTACCTATCTAGCTTTCCCTTAAATACGTCTATGCTATTTGCCTCAATTGTAGCATGTTCTACTTCTCTCTTAAAAGTTGTTATCAAATCGGCTTGCACCATCATTTCAGGCAATGCATTCCAGATCCGAACAACTCGCAGTGTGAAAAAATTTCTCCTCACCTTCCCTCTGTTTCTTTTAACGACTATTTTAAATCGGAGTCCTCGGGTTACCGACCCACCTGCCAGTGGAAATAATTTCTCCTTGCTTATGCTATCGAATCCCCTCATAGTTTTGAAAACTTCTATTAAGTCTCCTTTTAACCTTCTCTGCTTCAAGAAGAATAATCCTAGCTTCTCTAGCCTCTCCCGATAACTGAAGTCCCTCATTCCTGGTACCATCCTGGTAAATCTCCTTTGCACCCTCTCCAATGCCTTGACATCCTTCCTAAAGTGTGGTGCCCGGAACTGAACACAATACTCAAGCTGAGGCCTAACCAGTGTTTTATAAAGGTTCATTATAACTTCCTGACTTTTGTATTCTATGCCCCTATTTATAAAGCCTAGTATCCTGTATGCTTTATTTTAACAGCTTTATCTACCTGTCCTGCCACCTTCAAAGATTTACTTATAAATTTAAGATTGTACCATCTAGCTTATAAAACCTATGGCTTATCTTCACTAAATAGCATTTGAGATCCATGCCTAGAAATTCCACCTAGTCTTAGTCTATAAGACGTTTAAATTGTTCTTGTAAAATGTAAGACTGCACAGAATTGTGGATAATTCTTAGGCTTAATTTGAAAGGCAGTTTTATACAGTTTTAAACAGTCTTCAGGTTTAACACTGAATTTATAAATTGCCCACCTTAAAGGTAAGCGAATATGGTGTTAGAAGCTAAAAGTATGTGGACTTTCAGGTCTCCACTGTCCAACTGTTGATGTGAATCCAATTCTTTCTTGTTTTTGTAGCTTGCAGCCTTGGTCTGTGGGTTTGTGATCAAACTGCACACGTGTTTACATGACCAGGGCTTCCTACGACAGCTTCACACTGTAGGCTTGCTTGTACACTTCGAAGGACTTCTCAGCACTTACAGTGAGTAGCACATTCTTTTCATCTGCTGTAAAGTCTTTCATTTGTGATATTCGCCAAATGGATGATCACTGATTCTGACAGTCAACAAAGTCCAAAACAAGGCTTGGGGTAGTGAATTATAGCCCAGTGTCAGGACTCGACACTACATCTCTTGATAGCAACCTTGTTAAGAAAGCGAAAGATGCACAACTGGCCATTCATTACGCTCCCGAAATTCAAAATACAATTCGATTTGCCTCTAACTACCACCTTTCACATTGGGAGGACATTTCAAAGTGTTTATACAGAAAGATGTATAGGTAATGGGGTCTAAGGTTATGCTGACTGTTACAACAAGTTTTTTTGTATCTTTATAATGAAGGGTGTTTGAGGACAGGACACTGGACTCATTTAAAAAAACAGTTTGATGCTGTGATGGGGGAATGGTAGGGTTGGTATTCTGGGGGATGAGATGGTCCGAAGGGCCTTCTTCCTCTGAACTGATCTTTTGATCTTGTGAATAAAATATCCTCTAACCTTCCCCCCCACCCTCACCCGTGCATATTTAATAACAACAGCTTGCATTTATATAGCACTCTTCACACGGGGTAGCGTCCCGCAGAGCTTAATGGATCTCTTTTGGGTTCTTGGAAACGCTGCCACCGCTTATAATAACAACAACAACAACAACTTGCACTTATATAGCACCCTCCACACTGGAAAGCGTCTCAGTGCCAGAGTTTGACTCCAAGCCAGGGGGAGGGGGCCTTAAGCACGGTCGAAGAGGAAAGTTTTCAGGTGGGACTTGAAAGAGGGGAGAGAGGGGGCAAGATGGAGCGATTGAGGGAGAGTGTTCCAGACTTTCGGTGTGTAGTGGCTGAAATCGCGCCCTCCAATGGTGGGATGGCGGGTCTAAGGGATGAGCAGGAAGCCGGTGCCAGCTGAGCGGAGGTGCCGGATGGTGGATTGGGGAGTGAGGGGGTCGGAGAGTTAGGGAGGTGCCAGGGAATGAATGTATTTTAACACGAGTGTGAGAATCTTGAAATCGATCCATTCAGTGATGGGGAGCCAGTGGAGCCTGGCCAGAACTGGTGAGATGTGGGTACGGAGTTTGGTCTGGGTCAGTATGCGGGCGGCAGAGTTTTGAATGAGCTGGATCTTGTGAATGGTGGAGCTGGGAAGACAGGCGAGGAGTCTGTTGGAGTAATCCAGCTGAGAGATGATAAAAGTACGCACGCGGGTTTTGGCTGCATTTGGGGCATGGTACGCGCTCGGAGGCGGGCAATGTGGCGGAAGTGGAAGAAGGCGATCCTGGTCAGGGACCAGATGTGGTGGAGGAAGGACAGCTGGGGGTCTAGCCGGATGCCTCGGTTGCACACTGGTCCATTGAGTCTGAGGGAGAGCCTAGGGAGATTGAGGAGTTTAGATCCACAGGAGTGAAGACATTGACTGGAGCCAAGGAGTATAACCTGTATGCTTTTCACTTTTAGGTGAAGAGATTGGGATGCTGGAGGACATGTCAGTGGGAATCTCGGATTTGCAGAAGGTGACATTCAAAGTTGTTCAAGCACAGCTGGAGGAGAATGCCAGCGCTGAACTCTTCCCTGTTGTGACTGGAGTGAGGTATGAACAAAATAGTAACAGCAGCGTTGTGACCCTCAGTCTTGTGATCTCTTGTGTTCTCGAGAGTATTGTGCATTGGGAACATAGCAATGGGAGTAGGCCGTTCAGCCCCTCAAGCCTGTTCCGCCATTCTTTGAGATCACGTACCTCAACTCCAGTTACCCATCTTTGCTCCATATTCCTTGATACAATTACCTAACAAATATCTATCCACCTCAGTCTTGAAATTTTTAATTGATACAGCATCCACGGCGGTTTGGAAGAAGAGAGTTCCAGATATCCACTAACCTTTGTGTGAAAAAGGGCTTACGATTATTAGGGTTCCTGATTTCATTCCTAAATGGTCTAACTTTAATTTTAAGTTAATGCGTTACAAATTGTATTGGAGAAAATTGCACTTTGGAGCCATTATCTAGCAATTATTTACAAGATTTGGCCAGATGACAATATTTGAGAAGGGAAATAGGCTGAACTTCTCCTGTGCTTAAAAATTCCTTGAGGAAGAAAATCCTGTGGACTGTTTGATCTCCCTTTTCTAAAATACCATCTCTACCATCTTCCCATTGCTGCAGCTTTCTTAAATGAATCCCATGTCTTGACCTCAACCACACATATGGCAAAAGCCATTCCAGTTGTTCATTGCTCCTTATGTAAATAACTTACACCAATATTGCTCCTTTCACATAGGATGAACAATGAACGATGAACAACAATCTTGAGCAAAGAGGAAAGAAGGGGAATTTATACAGTACAGTTTACATTTCAATAGCATCTGTCATGTCGGGAGGATGTCTCAAATCGCTTAACATTGCTGCGAAGCTGAGCTGGGGGTGGGAGCTGAAAGGATTGGGGAGGGGAAGGAGGACCAAAAGTGGAGTCAAATACGTTTTGAGATGCAGTTTAAAAGAGGGGTGGGAAGAAGCGAGTAGGAGGGACTCTGGGATGAAATTCCAGAAAGCAGGGGCAGAATGGCTGGGAGCTTGCTGGTGAATGGGACAGATGGGACGGGACATGAAGGAGGCCAGTGTTCGCTGTGAGAAGGAAGCGACCAGGTCGATGGACTTGAAAGAGGTTCCCAAGATGTGGTGGAGCGAGACACTGGGTGTTTCTGAAGGTGACATTAAGGGTGTTGACTAACGTCATGATCAAAATAGAAAAACTGAAAAGAGTTTTAAAAGCAGGGAGAGTTTTATAACAGATCAAAGGTCAAAGTAGTTAAGTAATCATTTATTCTTATAGAGATCTAAACTATTTTTCTGTGTGTCTTACTCAAATAGAAACCCATCACCATGCGTATAGGTATACTGGACTCAATTTTCAAGACTGAGGTGGATAGATTTCTGTTAGATAAGGATATCAAGGGATATGGGGCAAAGGCAGGTAATTGGAGTTGAGGTACAGATCAGCCATGATCTCATAGAATGGTGGAACAGACTCGAGGGGCTGAATGGCCAACTCCTGTTCCTATGAGTATCGAAACCAAACTGAGAATTCCCCTTATGAATTTCACTTTTACATGGAAATTTTCCTGTGTTGGGGATGCAATGCGCACCCTCTCCCTGGAGGGACGCACCCTGTTACCTAACTACAGAGAGCATTAGGTGCAGGTTGGTGAAGTACAAGGCTTGGGGACCACAGTTTGTGTGTTGGGGGTACCACTGGAGTTTAATCATCTAAAATCACATAGCTTGCTGTTGAAAGCAAGCTTCCCACTGCTTGTTCAGCTTGAACAATCTCATCCTTTTGGGTTATGGCATTCCAGTGGGACTGAGTGGGAAGGAATCCTGCCCCTGGTCAGTGGTCTAAGTCCTACCAATGAGCCCGGCTGGCTGGTCTGTCAGCAGCAGTATTCTGTAGTACTGAGGATTCGTCTGGTTCAGTTAATGGACAACCGAGACTGCCACAGAGGGTTGGCTTGATTCTGATATTTCACTGTCAAGTATGTCACATTGGAGCCAACACAGCTCCAAGGAAATCACAATATCCTGCTTGCCTCCCGATTTCGTAATGATTTTTAATATCCTTGTCTTGCGGCTGAATATACAGAGTGACAGATAAGTGGACAAAACACAAAATACTGCAGATGCTGGAATCCAGATAAGTGGAGCTGACCTGTCAAGGTCCAGAATTCATAGAATCCACCACGGAATCCTTTGCACTGCAATGGGTAACATTTTACAATTTGTAACAGAAATGTTTTACTGTATTCCAGGAATATTCTGATTTAAGACGTGCAAATCTGTATCTCAAATGTTGCTTTATCGCATTCTGCAGTGGAAATGTCCAGTAAATTACAGAGATGATCAGGTTGAGCCACCTTCTGTTGTATAGATTTATTGCCCAACAGTGCAGTTGTCTCCAATGATTTCAGTGATGAGTTTTGATCCTGCTTGGACTATAAGAGTGGAAAGGTTGCTCGGCAGTCCTTGCAATGAAAACCTGCGTGATTTTTGCTGGTCAGAAAAAAGCAAAACTACCCAACTAGTCTGCTTGTACCCAACGCACACTCTGGGTGCCCCCAGCCTTGGCTCTTGCCAACCACATCATCTTGGTCCCAGACACACCTTTTCTCTCCCTTATCTGCCTGTTTTGTCACAAGTTCTTTTCCTCCCCCCACCCCCACCCGTTTTGTTCTGCAGTATTAACACCTCTATTCCCCCGCTTTTTTGCAAACCCACCCCCTTTGTTCTGCATCATTAATACCTCTTTAACCCATCATCCCCTGTCCTCTACCCCATTTTCTCCTTTGTCTTCCTTGTCCTGCCTCCCTCTTCCCTGTTAGCCCTTAAAAGCCGCTCCCTCCCAACATGCCCCAGTTCTGACGAAGTGTCGTGGACCCGAAATGTTGACTCACTTTCCTTTCTCCATAGATGCTGCCTGACCTGCTGAGTGTTCCCAGCGACTTCTGTTTTTGTTTGTAATTGTTGTTGTTGTTCTTACATTTCACGCTAAAGCTGTTCTGTACTGGTTATATCAAATCTTGAAAGGGTTCTTGTACCGTTAGCATATGGCTGCATGCCCCGGGGCAGCTTAAGGTGCCAGGATATTTTCTAATACTTAATATTAATCTACAGGAGGAGAGTGCACATTCCATTCCAACAATCTGTCTCTGGGATTTCCATATGTAGGTGGGATGCATGGAATTCTCAGTTTGGTTTGGATACTCTTAAGCTTGGGGTGATGGGTTTCCGCATGTGCCAAACACCAGGCTGACCAAAAAAAAAGGGATGTTTTCTTGACCGATGTGTTTTCTGTTGTCCGTGCTTCTGGGGCCAGAAATCTTATTAAAACCTTGTTAATTTTTTCCTCTTTTCTCTCTGGTGGGTTTTGTTGCAGAGATTTTTACACGGTAGAGGTCCAGCTCCCAACTAAACTGTTTGAGGTTTTGCCGCAGGAGATTAAAGACGGGAATTTGTTGCGAGTGTATCCAGTGCTTTTCAACGTGGGAATAAATGAGCAGCAAACTTTGGCAGAGAGGTATGCTAAGGTCATTGTGCATTCAATGTGCAAATGCAGCTTCAATTCTGTTTGCCCCACAAACAGTCGTGGATTGAGTGAACAATTTTAATAATTTTATACTGTAAAGGATGTGGCTGTGTGTATTTTGCTTCAATTCAATCAGCTTCAGCTGGTTTGTTTGTTTTAGTTTTCATCCATTTATATAACTGGGTTGCTTTTTCAAGGACCATTTCTGGCCTGGGTTGATCTATGGCAAGCAATGGGAGGCTGGCGTGAAATATTTTTGTTTAAACAAGCCTAGCTCAGTTGATAGCATTATTGTCTCTGAGTCAAAAGGTTGTGGTTTGAAGCCTCACGTCAGGACTTGAAATCCATATAATCTAGGTTGACATTCCAATGCAGTCCTGGGGAAGCACTGCATGGTCCTTCATGATGAGACCTAAAACCGAGGTCCTGTATGGCTGTCCAGGTAGACATTGGATCCCAGAGCACTATTTAAAAAGAGTAGGGAGATCTAACCCCTGGACCAAATAAAATTGGTTACTCCCTCTTCAGCTGTTTGTGAGCCATTGCTGTGTTCAAATTGGCTGCACTTTACAGGATATCCTGTCATGTGCTTTGAGATGTCTCGATGACATGATAGTGCGCTATGTCAAATGCAAAGCTTATTTATTGTCTATAGCCTTTGTAGATTTTCCTTTGTTAAACAAGGTTAAGTCTTCACAGAAAGTAAACCCACCAGAATTGGCAGGAAATCCAGCCGTTAACCTTGGGAAAGTGGATAACATTGCATAAAGCTATAAGGAACGAGATGGTAATAAGGAACATACAGCAATGTCACATGTCTTCAAATAAAATCATGTCAGGAATCGGAGCATCTCCAACCACAGGAAGGAAGTTTGAACTTGTGATCCAATTAAATAAGACAAGCGTTTGAGACTAGCAGAAGATTTGATAGATTTGAATCATCCACTGGAAATGTCAGACACTATTTTCAGGAAGCAAGTATAACAATAATAATAAAATTATAATCCTTACATTTGATATAGTCTTATCATGTCACCTAGACTTCTCAAAGGGTTTTACATGATAATAATCCTTACATTTGATAAAGCGCCTTATCACGTCGATGAGACGTCTCAAAAGTGCTTCACAGATTACATTGTAAAGTGGATTGACTGTGTATTTTGTGGGAGAAACGTAGTAGCCAATTGCGCACAGCAACATCCATAAACAGTCTTGGATTGAGTGAACACATTATTTTAAACTTTTATACTGGAAATGGGTGAGGCTGTGTATAGTTTGTGGGCTGCAGATATCAGAGCAGGAGATGCTGAGAGCTGATGTCTCCCCCTCCTTAAATGGATTATTAATATTATTTCCAGTGCATTGCAGAATCAAGTAGAATAAACACATGCACACTCGTCTTGCCTTTAAGAATATTTATATTTTTCAATCCACGACTGTTTGTGGGATGTTGCTGTGCGCAATTGGCTGCTGTGTTCCGTCCACAAATATATGGTCAATTCACTTTGCAGCATATCCTGTGAAGTGCTTTGAGATGTCGAGAAGACATGAAAAGCGCTATATCAAATGCAAGGATTATTATTATTATATCATAGAATCGTAGAATTCTACAGCACAGAAGGAAGCCATTCGGCCCACCGCGTCTGTGCCAGCTCTTTGAAAAGAGCTATCCAAATCAATCCCACTCCCCCGTGCTCTCCCCGTAGCCCTGCAAACTTGTCCTCCCCAAGTAATTATTTCCCTTTGGGAAAGAGCATGAGATGCGTATCAGAGATCTGGCGTAAATTTCAAGCTGTTTTAAGACCAGATCCGCTCTCAGGAACAAGAGTGGGGGAGTATTTTTATAATAATAATATTAATAATAATATTAATAATAATTTGAGCATTTAATTATAGCACTTCAATTCTTCTTATTAATAACAATAATAATCCTTGCATTTGATATTGAGTCTCAAAGCACTTCACACAGTATATTGTAAAGTGAATTGACTGTATTTTGTGGATGAAATGCCGCAGCCAATTGCACACAGCAGTGTCCCACAAACAGTCGTAGATTCAGTGACTAAATTTTTTTTTGAGGGATTATTACCCCCGGAAAGTGATCCACCAATTGACTAACAGTCGGGTTCCTATTTCCTGTTAGGTAAACTGTGGTGTGTGAAGTAAGGAAACTTGCTTTTGCCCCACCTGGGAATCAAACCTGGTTACTCTCGCATTCGTGGTCACAAAGTATCTTTTAAATCTTACCCACATTTGCTATCTGTTTCATGGGACCACATCATTAACTTTCACTTCCTCTCCTTATTCCCCTCTGAAAACATGGAAGCTGATCATCCTCAACCAAGTTTATTATGTACAAAAATTAACACCTTTATTTTACCCGTCTAAAATACTGCTGTAAAAGTGCCAATAATCTTTTATTTGATTCAGAGCCTATAACATCAAAATACCCCAAAGCGCTTATTGGTGTAAAAATGAATTGACTACATTTGTAGACAAATGAAACAGCTAATTTACACACAGCAATGTCCAACAAACAGCCATGAAATTAAAGAACAGTTTTATCTGGAGTATTGTTGCCCAGGACACTAGGAGAAACTCCCTTCTTTTTGCGAATAGTACCATGGGATCCTTACCATCCACCTGACCAGAGCGATGGTTTAATATTTAATTCCACCCCCAGCCCCCTCTCCACCCATTTTTGTCCTCTCCTAACTTGAAGATGCTAATTTAATTGCACAATGCCTTAAAGTTGTATTACTGCTCACTTATACAGTTCTAAAATACATGTTTCACTATTGCTAGTGGACTTTGAGTTGATTATAATTGTTGGACCCAGTACTTCGGTGTCTTTCTTTACAATACATAACCTTTACTAGTAGACCTATTGAATGAACCATAAGCAGATGTGTTCTTTCCATGTGTAGTATCTGTCCAACAGCCATGTAGATCAGCCTCATTGCTTTCTCCCTAGTGAGCCTTTCTCCCAGGTTGCTTGACATGCCCCTGTTTTTTTTCTATAGTTCGTTCCATTTTATATAAAATTAAGCGGTCAGTCTGCCAATGCTGTTGGTCTTGTGTATTTGAATCCAAGCTGCATCCAAGGCTGCATTCTCCACCTCTCAAAGCCAATCAGGAACCTCGGTGTTCTGTTCGACCCTGAGCTGTCCTTTCTTCCCCACATCCGCACCACAACTGGCACCGCCTTCCACCACCTCCGGAACATCGCCAGACTACGGCTCTACCTCACCCCTCACGCTGCTGAAACACTGGTCCACTCCTTTATCACCTCAAGTCTGGACTATGGAAACTCTCTCCTCGCCGGCCTTCCCAGCACCTCCCTCCACAAGCTGCAGGTCATTCAGAACTCTGCAGCTCGTGTACTGTCCCGCACCAGGCTTCGGGACCACATCACTCCCACCCTCGCTCGCCTCCACTGGCTCCCCATCCCCCAGAGGATCGAATTCAAGATCCTCATCCTCACCTACAAGGCTATTCACGTCCTTGCTCCCTCCTACCTCTCCGACCTACTATCCCCCTACTTACCTGCCCGTACCCTCCGTTCCTCTGGCTCTGGTCTGCTCCACATCCCCCGACCTAACCGCCTTACCAACGGTGGCCGGGCTTTCAGCCTCTCAGCCCCTAGGCTCTGGAACTCCATCCCCCAGTGCCTTCGCCGCCTCCTCCCTTTCTTCCTTCAAGGCCGGTCTCAAGACCTTTCTCTTCAACCGTACCTTCACCTCCTCTCTCGACTCTGTACCCCCTCCTCGCTCCCTCCCTTCCCTCCCCTCACCCTGACCATTTCCCCCCTGCTCGGGTCCCGACTCAACTATCCAGTGCCTTGGGACGTCCTGACGTGAAAGGCGCTCTATAAATGCAATCTTGTTGTTGTTGTTGTTGAAGTTTGGAGTGACTGGGTATGGCTGTAGTACAGTGTGATAATCTCAAGCACATACTGTCCTCATGCAAATCACAGCTATTTGCGCAGCTGTATGTGTAACAGGAGCAAACCAATCCTTGATAAACTTTTCTCTCAAACATACTCCTTGTCGGCAGTTGTATTTGTTCCCAGTCAATTTCATTTGTGATGCCAGGCCAAGACTTTTAATTTTTTGTTATCATAGGTTTGGAGACATCTCTCTGCAAGAAATTATCAATCAGGAGAATTTAGAACTTCTCAATAGATATTACAAATCATTTGAAGAAAAGCTGTCACCTGACTGTAAGTACTGTATATTACTTTATTATCAAAAACAACAGCAAAATTACATTTGTATAGAGCCTATCATGTCGGGAGGATGTGCCTAGGTGCTGGAAAGTCAGTACAAAAACCTGATTGGAGGGATTCGTGTTGGGATTGGTGGGAGAGAAAGGAGCGAAGCTGGGAAACAATGACTCATTCCAGGCCCTTGGAGAGGAACGGGAGGTTGAGATGGGGTGTTAGTTTGAGAGCAGAAAGTAGTTTTGAGTTTGTGTCTCTCTGGACTCATAATTTTCCCTAATCTTGGAAGCGGCAGCTTCCTTTAAGCAAATCACATATGGTAAATATCTATGGGGCCATTTCCTTGCAGTCAGCCCACACAAGGGCTAGCTTCCTCTTAGCGCCATAAGCAAATAATGGTTATTAACAGCTTAATGGAAAATTGCCAATTTATTAATGCTGGAAGACATTTAAAGCAGGGTTAGTGTTAACTTTAGGGTGTAATCTTGATCTCAAAAGATATCACATTCACTTTACACAGTGCTGCAGTGTTGGAATATGTACTGGTATTATTCCTGGAGGAGAAGAGTGAATAGCAGATCAGGGATCACAAACAGAGTATCTGGAAGTGCAATGGGGTCAGATCCATCATCACTGAGAATGTCTTTGATGGGGTTGGGAGCCGAGGGGGTTGTGAAGGGGATATCAGCAGTAGAAACGCTTAATTTTCTTCAGCCACTTTCCTCCCTCACCCTTGATCTCCCAGTACCACTCGGCCTTGTCTCCCACCCACCCACCCCTTGCAGCAAAGAGCATAAGTGTGGAAACATCCTTGGATACTTTTCCTGTTCTGTCTCATCCAAGGCGAGATGAGACAAACCACATTACCCTAACCACAGTATTATTCCCATGTGAGAGCAACAGCCACCTCCCCACAGTCTTGAACCTGTGACCTTCTGATTTATATGGCCATTCATTTTGGCTATCTTGCACTGCTCTTTTAAGAGGCTGGGGAAGCGTTCATTGCAGAAATCTATTAAGTTGCTGGGTTCCTTTACTTAACTCCATTTGCAGTGTGTTTCCTTTTCACATTCATGTGGGAGCACTGCATATAATACAACAAAGCAAGCCAGATAACTTCAGAAAGAACCAGTGCAAGAAAATATTTTAGAACTTGGTGTCCTTAGCCCGCTCAGCTCCCGCACTGCCTCATGCCGAATATCATGAAGAGTAGACGGGAAGAGAGGCAGAGTGGGAGGTAAAGGTGCAAACCATGTCTGGGGCCCTCTCAGAGCTCGGGCCCCTAAACCATGGCTTAGATGTCTTGTTGGTTAATCCGGCCCTAATGGTTGCAGATATAGGTACTTGATGATGGTCGCTATTTGAAAATCTATTTGCTTTTCCCATGGTTTTTCATTTTGCAGGTTTGCCTCGATTTCAGGCGCAGACTGACCTAAAGGATCTGTTGCAAAGCCTTAGTCAAAACATCCAAATCAAGAAAAGGAAAAATGTCGAAATTTTAAAGCTTGCAGCAAAAGTAAGTTTTGTGAAAATACAATTTCTGTACTTTTCAGAAGGCTGAAATTGAAGTCAGGCAGTGCTCGCAACACGGTTTTAGCTGGTTAAAGTCTAACAGACGTGGACCTGAGGGTCTGAGAGTATAGTTGGGGAGATGGGTTAGGCCTGTCATAAATGGACAGAAAAGAGATATTTAGCTGCTATTTGCTGAATTATTACAGGTTATTAAAGTATGCTGCGTAGAAAATCATTAAGCCTTTGTACTTTTGTGGGTGTGGTGGTGGAAGGATACAATCTTTCCATATTCAGTGAATTTATCTAATCTTCGTGATGAGAGTGTGTTGCTGGCTCGTTGACAATATAAGCAGCGGCTTTGTGGGAAATTTCAGATAAACTGTTGCTAGAGTGGTGTGCTGTTGTGAAGGTTAATAATGAATCATTGCTTCAATAGAAGTGCTGCAAGGACCACAATGAAGAGTTAAGTTAGACTGCCCTCAAGTCCACTGTGACCCCAGTCTCTATCGGGTGGCTGGTTCAGTTCATTTTCAGCTCATGCACTTATGGGAGAAATTCCAACCGGGTCTAAGTTCAATCCATTTATGTAGCATTTCAGAGCATCCACATTTCAGTGAATTATTGAATTCAGTCTTAACTTTCAAGCCAGTTTTCGGCAATTATGAAAAGAAACTTACAGTTAACCCAGCTTTAAAGTTGTAAGAAATTGCCAAATTCTGGATGCCCTGAAATGTCTAGACCTTTTTCCCTAAGTTGAAGCGAAAATAATCACTTAATGCGATTATAAACATTACTCAGAATTACTCAGAACTGCTAAAATAAGTACAAATTCCCTCAATTTTAGTCCTTTTTCTTCCAATGTCAGCTCTTCTCCCGGTGCTCTGGCCAACAAATCTCCCAAATAAAATTGATCATTCACTACATAGCTGTTTGTGGGACATTGCTATGCACAATTGGCTGCTGCATTTCACCCACATAAGGTGCTATATCAAATCGAAGGATTATTATTATTCCCAGTTCTCTCCCGGTTCTCTTTTATTCCAACTTCTGCTTTTTGCTCTTTTCTACTATCCTAGCAGTAGTGAAACCTTCGGTATCTATGTTCCATTTACTATATCTGCTATAATTGGGAAGACTAAAAATCCAATTCTCTCCCCGAATCACTCTCTATATTCCTCCCGCACATTCAGTGACGTGCTGTCTTGCAAAATTGTGTTCCTTCAAGGGTTGAAGTTTAGGAACATAGAAACACAGGAACAGGAGTTGGCCATTCAGCCCTTCGAGCCTATTCCGCCATTTAATTAGATCATGGCTGATCTGTACCTCAACTAATCCTTTCAATTCCAATTTCCCGCTTTCTCCCCATATCCTTTAATACCCTGACCTACCAAAAATCTATCAATGTTTGACTGTTTAGCCTTGTATTCAACATAGCTCTCAAATGTCAAAACATCTCAAAGGACTTCACAGGCAATCATTGTGAATGTAGTGGCGGCATGTCTGTAGGCAAAAGTGGCAGCCAGTTTGTGCCCAGCAATGTCCACACAAACAGGCCTGAAGTTAGAAGCACAGCAGCACTGCTGCGGTTCAATGCCAACCAAAACCACTTAAAGGCCAAAAAAGCAAGTCTTGTTGACAGCTGGACATGATTTAAAATTTTCTGTTTTCCTAATGATCACCATAGGAAGCAGGCAAATATTTTTTGAAACTTGGCAACTCTGCTATCCAGTTCCTCAAAAGCAGCTCTCCATTTTGCACACACTCAATAGCTTTGCATGGACCCAGCCCACCTCCTAGCCATGCAACATATCTGTAGTTACCAGGGTGACTTGTAGACCTTTCTGTTCAGTTGCTGATCCGAGACTGCGTTACGCAACACTAGCAGGCAGCCAAACCTGACCAGTAAGCATTCCGTCACTGACAGCACGAAGGAAAACAGCACACTGGAGACAACAATAACAACTTGCATTTATATAGCGCCCTCCACGCTGGGTAGTGTCCCGGACTAAGATTTAGTGGACCGAGTAGGAAATGTTCCATTTTCAGGATCTCACACAAAAATCTCTCTTGGCATGCCATTAAAAAAATATTATAATGATAATAATCCTTACATTTGGTATAGCACTTTTCACATCAGGAGGGTGTCTCAAAGCGCTTCACAGGGTATACTGTAAAGTGACTGTGTGCTTTGTAGGATGATGTGACAAGCAATTTGTGTACAGCAATATCCCATAAACAGTCATGAAGTGAATGACCGATTTTACTTGGGGGGGTTGTTGGCCAGGACACCGTGGGAAATTCCCTTCTCTTTTGAGATCTTCAATGTCCCATTGAACAGGCAGATGGGAACTTGGATTAACATCTCATCCAAAGAATAAAATCTTCAATTAACCTTTCTTCCATTATCAACAACCAATTATTATGTCAACGAATGTTCACTAACCATGAGAGTTCAAAGCTTCAGCTCTGACTTCAAATAAATCACTTATTTTAAATACAAGTGCATGTGTATTATCCACTCCTCCCTCCTGCTTTACTTTTTCAATCCCATTTAAAACAACAACAACAAGATTCCATTTATAGAGCGCCTTTCACGTCGGGAGGACGTCCCAAGGCGCTGGACAGTTGGGTCAGCACCCGAGCAGGGGGGAAATGGTCAGGGTGAGGGGAGGGAAGGGAGGGAGCGAGGAGGGGGTAGAGAGTCGAGAGGGGAGCTGAAGGCACGGTCAAAGAGAAAGGTCTTGAGACCGGCTTTGAAGGAGGAAAGGGAGGAGGCGGCGAAGGCACTGGGGGATAGAGTTCCAGAGCCTAGGGGCTGAGAGGCTGAAGGCCCGGCCACCGATGGTAGGGCGGTTGGGGCGGGGGATGTGGAGCAGACCAGAGCCAGAGGAACGGAGAGTACGGGAAGGTAGGTAGGGGGATAGTAGGTCAGAGAGGTAGGAGGGAGCGAGGCCGTGAATGGCCTTGTAGGTGAGGATGAGGATCTTGAATTCGATCCTCTGGGGGATGGGGAGCCAGTGGAGGCGAGCGAGGGTGGGAGTGATGTGGTCGCGAAGCCTGGTGCGGGACAGTACACGAGCTGCAGAGTTCTGAATCATCTGCAGCTTGTGGAGGGAGGTGCCGGGAAGGCCGACGAGGAGAGAGTTCCCGTAGTCCAGCCTTGAGGTGATAAAGGCGTGGACCAGAGTTTCAGCAGCGTGAGGGGTGAGGTAGTGCCGTAGTCTGGCGATATTCCGGAGGTGATGGAAGGCGGTGCCAGTTGTGGCGCGGATATGAGGGAGAAAGGACAGCTCAGGGTCGAACAGAACGCCGAGGTTCCTGACCGGCTTTGAGAGGTGGAGAGTGCAGCCTTGGATGCTGATGCTGTCAGAGCCTGAGGTGCGGAGGCGCTGACGTGAGCCAATCAGGAGGGCCTCAGTTTTACGCACGTTGAGCTGAAGAAAGTTGTCTCTCGTCCAGGACTCGATGTCGGACAGGTAGGCTGTCAGGACATCGGTGGTCGTGGAGTTGAGGGTACAGGAGGAAAGGTAGAGTTGGGTGTCATCCGCATACATGTGGAAGTTGACCCCATGTCTGCGGCTGTTGTCACCAAGGGGGAGCATATAGAGGGTGAAGAGGAGGGGACCGAGGACAGAGCCCTGAGGGACACCGCACAAGACAGTGCGGGGGGTGGAGGAAAAGCCATTCGTGGAAACAAAGTGAAGACGGTGGGAGAGGTACGACCTAAACCACTGAAGGACAGGGCCTTGAATGTTGCGGTGGGAGGACAAGCGGTGGAGGAGGATAGCATGGTCGACTGTATCGAATGCTGCCGATAGGTCGAGGAGGACGAGGAGGCAGAGGGAGCCCTGGTCGCAGATGGTCAGGATGTCATTGGTGACCTTGACCAGGTCAGTTTCTGTGCTATGGGCAGCACGGAAACCCGACTGAAGGGGTTCGAATAATGAATGGATAGAGAGGAAAGAGCGCAGCTGGGAGGCGACAGCTCGTTCCAGGACCTTGGACAGGAAGGGGAGGTTGGAGATGGGCCGGTAGCTTGATAGCTGTGACGCATCAAGGGAGGGTTTTTTAAGGTGGGAGTGATGGTGGCAGTTTTTAAGGGAATGGGAACAGAGCCAGAGGAGAGGGACAGGTTGACGATGTTTGTGATATGTGGGGCAAGGAGGTGGAGCTGGGAGATAAGGAGTGGAGTGGGGATGGGGTCAAGGGAGCAGGTGGTGGGTTTCAGGGACAGGATGAGTTTGGTGACAGAGGATGGGAAAACGGGTACGAAAATGTGTAGGGGAGGATGGGTAGGAGTCGGAGGGTGGGGGTGCGGTGTGGGTGGATGTTGGAGGGGAAGTGACCATGGAGCGAATTCCCTTGATTTTGGAATTTTGATTTTGAAAATCTTGTATACCTGGTAAATATTGGGTAAGATACCTTCTGTGATGTCTCCTTTCAAGACTGAAGAGCTCAAGCTTATTTAGAGGTTCAACCAATTTGAATTCAACCAATTTGGTGATTAGGGGAGCATCCTGTTTGCTTTGTTTATTGCTTCTTCACACTGTTTCGACACGGTGAGCAATAATAATAATAATAATAATCCTTGCATTTGATATAGCACTTTTCACGTCTTCTAAACGTCTCAAAGCGCTTTACAGAACATGATGTAAAGTGACTGTATATTTCCCACAAACAGTCGTGGATTGAAAATGACCCATTTATTATTGTTTTTTTGTTTTGGAGGGACTATTATTATTATTAATAATATAATTATTATTATGAGGCGTGTGGAATAAGGAAACTTGCCCAAGCTGTCGCCCTGCCTGGAATTGAACTCAGGTTAATATAATATATTATTAATATAATATAATTAATATAATTAATATAATATTGTATAATTATATATAATAGATAAATATATAATTAATATAATATAATAATTAATTAGAACAATATAATTAAGATAATATAGGCAATATAGGTTTGATGGGCTGTATAACTTCCTTCTGCCCTGTAACTTGTATGATTTTATTAAGTGCACCTACAAACATAAAACTTCACAGTAAAAACCCCACAGAACTCTCTGATGTTTGGATAACATTACAAGGTACTATATCAAATGTCACCCTCCTACCCTCACCCGATTCCACTGGCTCCACATCCCTCAGAGGATAGAGTTCAAAATCCTCAATAAATAAACTAACACCTTAGATCTTTTTCAGCTTCCCCCTTGGGAAGCTCTGTCCCATCAACAGACTACACGTTTCTCCTATTCTTGTATCCTATAATAATTCTTACATTTGGTCTAACAGTTTTCAAGGCAGAGGACATTCACAGCATGTACTGTAAAGTGCAGTCAGTGACTGTGTGAATGTGGCAGCCAATTTGCACATAGCAATGTCCTACAAACATCAGGAAGCTCCCTGTCAAGCGCTCTCGATTGTAAGATCTTCGCTACCTCCTCTAATCTGAAATTTGACTACACTGAGTCTGCAAACCTAGGTCTTAAATGTATACAGGAGCAGGAGAGGTCCCAGTGGAGTGCCCTGAGGCACCCCGCTTAACACCACCTCCTATTTTGACCAAGCTCCTCCAACAATGACCCTCTGTTTCCTTCCTGTCCGTGGCTTGCCCTTGACGTCCAGTGACGTGAGTTTGTGAAGCAAATGGTCAGTTTGCGGACAAGATTTTCCTCATGTGTTGAACTCCACATTGTTGAGGGTAATTGCCAGTGCATTGATTATACAATCGTCTCAAGTTTAGCCTGGCAATAGGGTGTCAATACCCCCTCCCCCCGAGGCTTTGGCAAGTGAGTACCACAAGCTATAACAACAACAACAAAATTATATTTATAGAGCGCCTTTCACGTCGGGAGGACGTCCCAAAGTGTGAACAGTCAGGTGTTGGGGTCCAAGCATGGGGGAGGGATGGTGTAGGGGTGAGGGAAGGCAGAGAGGTGGGAGGGAAACCAAAGGCACGGTCGAAGAGAAGGGTCTTGAGACTGGCCTTGAAGGACGCGAGGGAGGAAGCGAGGCGAAGGGACCGTGGGATGGAGTTCCAGAGTGTGGGGGCAGAGAGGCTGAAAGCCCGGCCACCGATGGTAGGGCAGGTTGGGCGGGAGACATGGAGCAGGCTGAAGCCCGCTGAACAGATGGAGTGGGCAGGTTGGTAGGGAGTCAGCAGGTCCCTTGATAGGGAGTCAGAGGTAGGAAGAGGCAAGGCCATGGATGGCCTTAAAGGTGAGGACGAGGATCTTGAACTACTGACTCCTGGAGGAGCCGGCTTCCAGCCAGTCTAGAAATGTGAGGATGCCTCACCACAAGGAAAAGGTCCTTTACAAACACACCCGCTTCACCCTTCAATACCTAAAGAGATATTTCAAACAGAAAGCCCTCGCTTTGGGCATTTCTTCCCTTTTAATGGCTACCAATTAGCAGACCCACAAAATGTGGTCTAACTTGCAGTATTGCACGATTCCTTATTAAAGAATCTGGATGGAATTCTCCGCAGGACTCTATTTTGGGAGTATGTCGGGGCAGACTGCTGTACGTGAGTTGGAATGCCTTCTAATAGAACTTGGTTAATAAATACTGGTAATTAGACCTCTAATTAGACCTCTAACCTCCGATCCAGCGACCACAACAAATTTGATTTATATTGCGCCTTTCATGTCGGGAGGACATCAATCTGCTTCTGGGGGTATGGCAGCTCTGGGTGGTCCTTTCTGTCAGTAACTCAATATTTCTAGGCTGGCTGGAAGCCGGCTCCTCCAGTCAAAGACATTGATCGAGGGAGAAGCCTCTTGCGGTCTGATAGACCCTATATTCAATGGGAGTTGATTCTTTGAACCAGAGAGGGATTTATTCAACAGGGAAAGTGTAATGCAGATGAGTCTTTGGGAATACCAATCCAGCGACAACAACAAATTTGATTTATATAGCGCCTTTATGTCGGGAGGACATCAATCTGCTTCTAGGGTATGGCAGCTCTGGGTGGTCCTTTCTGTCAGTATAAAGCCTGAGGGTCACTTTGCAATATGAACAGTGTGGTCTTAGCTGTGATAGTGTCAAAGTTGATAGCCAAGGACCGTGTACTTTTCTTATTGCTCATGACAGTACAAACTTGTTTTTGAGACTATTAATTGATGATTTGTCCAAAAAACTAAACTTGACTGGACACTGAATAATTAGAACACATTGTACATTTTCGTTCCCTAATTAGATTTGCCGGAGGTTGAACGGAATTCGCTTCACAAGCTGCAAAAGTGCCAAAGACCGAACTTCCATGTCTGTGACACTGGAGCAATGCGTGATTCTCCAAGATGAGCACGAGCTGCACCCAGACTACTTTGTCCGAGCTCTGGACTGCATGAGGAGGTAGGTTTCTGTACAGTGCACCCTTGAGAGACTTGTGTGTCGGCAGCAGGATGATCACGGAGGGTTGATTGTTTTATTTGCTTAAGCAATGCAGCTTGATTTAATGTGACTTCATCTTACTCAGGACGAGAAAGGTGTAAAGGAATGGTGGTGTCAGGCCTTTCACACAGATTATGCTGTTCCTTGAAACAGAAAGTGACCAAATTAAACAGGCTTTCCTGAATTTGAGGAGCGCCCACACAAATTGAGTGATTACTTAAACCACATCCGGCATTCAGTGCTGGCGTGCAGCCAGCAAGTGAATTACAAAGTATTTCAGCCTCTTCTCAATGTACCCATTTCCCGAGCACAAATTCAAGCATTCTGAGACGTTAGCCTGCATGAGGGGCACTATATAAATGACCCCAAATGTTGGCACGTATATTACAGCAATTGCTATAGTATAGAAGAATTAACATTTGGGGTCATTTTAAGAATTTCTTATTTAAGTAATGTTTGCAAAATACCAGTAGGTGGCATACAGTGTTCCTCCACTAGGTCCCAGTTTGCCAAACTGAGACTAAACTGACGGAGATTGATGTGTCAAGTGGGCCTGAAATCAATGCTCTCCACGCCCAACAATTTTCCTTTTAGCAATCAGATAGTCCTCAAATCCATTCACTCCCTGCAACTCCCTACCTCCCCGACCTCCTCACTCCCCAATCCACCACCCAGCACCTCCGCTCGACTGGCACCAGCCTCTTGATCATCCCTTCCACCCTCCGCTCTACCATTGGAAGTTGCGCTTTCAGCCACTATGCCCCAAAGCTCTGGAACACTCTCATACGGTCACCCCCTCCAGCTCCGCCACTGTTAAGCGCTCTGCGACGCTACCCTACGTGGAGGGCGCTATATAAGTGCAAATTGTTGTTGTATCAAACTCTGGCTTAACTCACTCAGCAAGCATCTTGTTAAGTCAACTTTCAGATGTTGCCTGTGAACTTGTAAAAATATATTCTTTTTCCTACTCTCACTGAGCCCCCAACCCAAAACGTTAGTCAAACAATTTCCTAACTCTTTTGTGGAGAAAGCCATTGTAAGAAAGGTGATAGGGATGGGAGAGGGGGTTGATGATTACGGGCGGGGGGGGCTTGTTCAGTCCTAAAATTAGTTAATAATGATCAAATACAATTCTGCCATTTCTTAACAGATTCATTCTGATAATGTTGAAATTTTTCACCTGCATTTTGTTTTAATATAAAGTTACTTGGACTGAAACGTGTTGCAGGGCGTACCAAATTGAGGGCCGCGATCGTGCTGATGAGGCATTCATTGCAGCTTACAAGGGAGTCAGCCTGGTTCATTCGGTAGCAATGTCGCCTCCGAGTCAGAATTTGTGGGTTTAAGCTTCACGTCAGGACTTGGAACCATTTAGTTTAGACTGACACTCCAATGCAGTGCTGGGAGTGTGCTGCATTGTCTGAGGTGCTTTGCATCAGATGAGACATTACAACAACAACAACTTGCAATCATATAATGCCCCTCAAGCAGGATAGTGTCCCAGAACACATGACAATAGCGGAGCACATCTCCAAGCCAGGGGGAGGGGGAGGTGACTGTAGGCACAGTTGAATAGGTAGGTCTTTAGGCGTGACCTGAAAATGGGGAACGAAAGGGCAAGGCAGAGGTATAGAGGAAGAGTGTTCCAAAGGGGTGAAGTGGCTGAAAGCACGGCCACCAATGGTGGAACGGAGCATATGAGAAACATGCAGAAGGCCAGTCTAGTGGAGGCAGCGGATTGTGGATTGGGGGATAAGCAGGTTCCGCGAGATAGCGAGGTGCCAGGGCACGAAGGAATTTGAAAACATTAAACCGAGGGTTCTGTCTGCCTATTTAAATAATGTTAAAAATCCTATGGCACTATTCAAAAAGAGAAGTGAGTTTCTCCCAGTGTTTAGGCCAACAATTCATCAAATAAAATTGGTCACTCTCCATGGCTGTTTGTGGAATATTACTCAGTGGTTAGAGCAAGCGAGCGACCTGGGTTCGATTCCTGGCAGGTGAAACGTTGGGCAAGTTTCCTTGCTCCACATGCCTCTGTTTACCTAGCAGTAAGTATGAACCTGGTTGGGAGTCGATTGGCAAATCACTTTTCCGGGGGTAATAATTCCTTCAAAAAAGTAATAATAATAAATTGTTCACTCAATCAACGACTGTTTGTGCAACACTACTGTGCACAATTGGCTGCCATGTTTCGCCCAATACAGTCAATTCACTTTACAATATATTCTGTGAAACGCTTTGAGTTGTCTCAAAGATATGAATAGGCGCTATATCAAATGCAAGGATTATTGTTATTGCTGTGCGCAAATTGGCTGCTGTTTTCACCCACAAAATACACAGTCACTGCACATTACAGTCCATTCTGTGAAACACTGTGAAAAGACCCTGGATCAAATACAATGGTTACTATGATTTACAACACCATTTGAACCTTTCACATTTTGCCCACCTTGCAACACGCTGTGCGGTCCTAGGTAAGTTAAAACATTTCAATATTGATTTGGCCATGAATTTTACAAGAATTGGATCAAGTTCCATGTATTTACTCAGTTGATTTATCACACATGTACCCCTCCATGTGAAACTGGAACACTGCAAAGATAACAGCATATGTCGTATTAGACATGAAGGGCTGGATGAGTCTCAACTTTCTGTAGCTGAATGTTGATCAGATGGAAGCCATACTTGTTGGTTCCAGTCAACATCTTTGTACCTCCGGTGTCCTTCCTACCCCACATTCAGTCCATAACCAGGACAGCTTTCCTCCACTACCGCCTCTGACCTTACCTATATCAAATGCAAGGATTATTATTATTATTGTTGAACCCACGTGCTACCAACTGAGCCAGGCTGACTTCACACACATCGCCTCTGTGTTCAGTTGGCACCATATACTGCTGGGAAAGGAACTTCAGTCTCTAAACAATGGCTGCAGAGACCCAGGGGAAAGAATACTGGGAAGCAGGGGAAACAACTGAATTCTCACCTACAAATACTTCACTTTACAGCAATTCACTTCACTTTACAGCTTAAATAAATATAATAATCTTTGCATTTGATATAGTGCCTTTTCACGCTGTGGTGACACCTCAAAGGACCTCACAAGATATGCTGTATTTTGTGGGCAAATGCGGCAGAGGATTTGCACACAGCAATGTCCCACAAACAGCCATGGAGTGAATGACCAATTTTATTTGCGGGATTGTTGGCCAGGATAACAGGAGAAACTTCCTTTGCTTTTTTGAATAGTGCCATGGGATCTTTAACGTCCACCTGAACAGACAGACAAACCTTGGTTTATGTTCTCATCCAAAGGATGGCGCAAATATTGTAAGGGAAACAGTATAAGTTGTGCAGATCTCTGTAGAATAGTTACAGAACAGTAATAATAATGCTTCTTAATGTGAGGGAACAGGGGAACACTCCCACATCTACATCCGTTGTTCCAGCCTGAAATACTCCCATGTTTCTTCCCCCCTACACCAATATACTGCAGAATAACCGAAAATGCTATCATCACGCTGACTCAATTGCCGCCTCGTGATAAATCTTGTGATGTAACTGGCATCGCCTTCACAGCGCAGTACAGTGCCCAAAGTGAAATAAACACATGCTGATTTTGAAGGCTGTTATAAAAAGTTTGCCCTGAACCTCACCCTTTATCAGAAATGCTTCTTCCTTCCAGCAAGTTTGTTTCCTTGTGTAGAATGTTGAAAAACCAGTCTGCTTGTTATTTTGTTGGTCCCGGCAACAACACATATCGATGATTAAAATTGAAACATTCCGATTGGGATGCTTAAATAAAAACAAATATTTTACAGTTGTCAACTATTCATCAACTTGTTTCTGGCTGATATTACTCTTTACCAGTGGGGCTCCTGCAGATTCTTAGATCACAGACTTTTCTCTGAGCAATGAGGGAGGTTATTGAAGGGCAGCGCAGTGTAAAGGTATAATTTGTGTTCCTCCTGCTGCCCAGGTTTGCATGTTTCTCTTGGTTACGCTATGTTTGTTGCTTGGTGCTTTCACATCAATACATGTGAGTACAATATGGTTTGCAGCACAGCTAATCCATTGAATTTTCCTTTACAACTATGGCACATCAAACATGAACCATTTGTCCTGCTGCAGCTTCCTGATCCATATTTTGTTAATTCCTTGTTGGTTGAACAACATTGCACTGTTTAATTCAGTAGACATCTACCAAGTCATACACACCTGAAGAAAATATGATACCGGTATAGCGATGTGTGAATATCAACATTAGGTTAATATTTACTTCTGTTATTTTTTACAAAAGATTAGATCAAAGGACCTCAGAAACTCCATCTCAAATAGTTTAAAGGATTTACTTAATAGTAGAACATAATTCACAGTAAATAAAAACAGAAGTCGCTGGGAAAACTCAGCAGGTCAAGCAGCATCTATGGAGAAAGGAAAGTGAGTCAATGTTTTGGGTCCACGACCCTTCGTCAGAACGGTTCTGAGGAAGGGTTGTGGACCCGAAACGTTGACTCACTTTTCTTTCTCCATCGATGCTGCCTGACCTGCTGAGTTTTCCCAACGACTTCTGTTTTTGTTTCAGATTTCCAGCATCTGTAGTATTTTGCATTTTGTTTATAATTAATCACAGTAAAACCCACTGAGGATACGGATGACTAAAATGTGATATTCTTATGGTTAGTAAGTTTGAGCAGAAAATTTGAGTTTCACAACAGAACTTGAGCTCCAAAGCAAGCTGACACTCCAATACAACACTGAAGGAGAGCTGCATTGTTAGAGCTCCAATTCTTTGGGTAAGACATTAAACCAGGTTCTCTTGGCCTCTTGTGATGATTCGGACAAAGAGACGATTAAAGATCTAAAGCAATATGACAAGAAAGTGCAGGAGATTCTCTCGGTGCCCTGGCCAATCTTCCTCCCATACCCCAACTCACACAAAAAATTAAGGTCATTGG